TATTTTGTATTTTATTATGTTGCATTGTTGGAGCAGCTCAGGTCAGAAGAATTTCATTGCCATTTCTACACTGAAGCTTTTGTGCATATGACAATAAAACCTTTGAATCAAATGCAACTTATGCTAACTTTTCTAATTGCTCTCCCTTTCCCCAGGTTTATGAGTGACACTCTGCTGCTGGAGGAGATGATGTCGGACCCCCTGCTGAATCAGTATGGTGTCGTGGTTTTGGACGAGCTACAGGAGCGCACCGTGCCCACAGACGTTCTTCTGGGTCTGCTTTGTGACGTGTGTCGTCAGAGACCCCAAAACTTCAGGGTGGTTCTCCTCTCTCACCCCTCACTGGCCCCTCGTCTCTCTGCCTTCCTGGGTCCCTCGGTTCCTCACCTCTCCCTGGACACCGTGCTCTCTGACCCCCCTGGCGATGAGCAGGAGGAGGGTGTGGAGGTGGAGGGGGAGGAGAGGAAAGCTGTGGAGGTGAACAAGGTGGAGACGGTGTATCGGGAACTCTCTGCTGGGAAGGAGCCGGCGACGGCTGCATGTCACATGGTGCTGGATCTGCACCGCAGGGGGGAGGAGGGAGATGTGATGGTGTTTCTGGCCAGTGCACAGGTACTACATGTTACTTAGTATATCAAACTCACATTACACTCCCTTTATGTCAACACCTGCTGGACTCTGTCAGTCCTGAGGGTGGAGTCTACAGTTTGAGCCTGGGCTAGTTTAGGTTACATTTGTAAGTCAAAGTCCTCTCTGGTGATACTGATCTGCTCTGGGTGATCCTCATTGAAACACACACACAGGTCTGTCTCTGTGGAACATGGTTCCCATAACTAGCAGCTGTTTTAAAGAGTACCTGACCTCCCCAGTGACGTGCGGTGAGGTTCATGGCTGGTGAGGCACTGACTCACTGAGTCAGATTTACAAATATTATATTTTGACCTTAATCGAAATATTCGGTTATTTTCAAAAGCTTTTTTAGTCTGATGCTTCGATTCATTTTAAACAGACCGTTCAACAAAAGGATACCCAAAATCTAAATATTGGATTGTTCTTTCTTAGTAAGATCCCATTTTCATTACAAATGTGGTCTTACCTTGACTTGAAGATGAAGTCCATGCTATCCTTCTGGACAACAATCTCTATTACTTTTTTGTAAAAGTCCTCCTTATCTTCCTGTAGTTTCAAAAGTCTAGTTTGTTGTTATGTCTACCGTCTCTGCGTAGAATAACAGTAGCAACAAGAACCTGTGGGCTCACGTGCGCCCCCTTCAGTGCGGCAGAGGTTATGGCTGCCTCCCCTGGTGCATTTTCATTGCCGTTGTATGATGAGACCAGCGAGCCTAAATATCATACGTGAAATAAGTTATTTAGAGACTATGGATGGCGAGGATAAATGTAATAAAGGGATCTACAAACATTACATTGGTGACCTACAGTGAGATGGGAACAGGCATGCGCTTAGGGCCCGCTTTCCAGACAGTTTCTGTGGGGTGACGCATTCTGAGGTGAGGCAGATCTCATCTGTGCCTCACCTGAGAATGCGTCACCCCACAGTAACTGGCTTGAGCGCGCTCACAAAATAAGTGCCCGCGCTACATTAGTGCCCGCGCTCCAACAAGTTACTGTGGGCTTATGAGAGGCAGAGCACGTGCCTGCCTCACTTGTCATCGCTCCCGTAGCGGAGCTCGGCAAATTTGCTGATTTTGACTATAAAAAGCGATTAGAATCATACATAAATCACACTTACAACACAGATCAGTGGAGACATTTTATTATTATTACTATTTCGTTTTTCTTTAGTTGTTTTTCCGTTACATTGGAGTATGACAGGTGAGGCTCTGCCTCCCCTGCCTCCACTGACTGCACGTCGCTGGACCTCCCTTTATATTAATAGAACAATAATGTCATTGTTAGCTAATGAATGTTTCCATGCTGAACAACGGCAACATGACAACGTTTTCATTGGTCCCTCTTCTTTAGAGAAGACCAGGAAATGATGGATACACGGATCGTGTTCAAATCAATAGGCACGCAATGACTCTAAATAATAATGATCACGCCACCAAACACACATTCAAACTAAAGGAACCAGCCTGTTTGGGAAATGTGAGAAGTAGAAAGTACAGGTATTTGGGTTCAACATGTAAGAAGTAGAAAGTACAGGTATTTGGGTTCAACATGTAAGAAGTAGAAAGTACAGGTATTTGAGTTCAACATGTAAGAAGTAGAAAGTACAGGTATTTGAGTTCAACATGTAAGAAGTAGAAAGTACAGGTATTTGTGTTCAACATGTAAGAAGTAGAAAGTACAGGTATTTGTGTTCAACATGTAAGAAGTAGAAAGTACAGGTATTTGTGTTCAAAATGTAAGAAGTAGAAAGTACAGGTATTTGTGTTCACAATGTAAGAAGTAGAAAGTACAGGTATTTGTGTTCAACATGTAAGAAGTAGAAAGTACAGGTATTTGAGTTCAACATGTAAGAAGTAGAAAGTACAGGTATTTGTGTTCAAAATGTAAGAAGTAGAAAGTACAGGTATTTGTGTTCAAAATGTAAGAAGTAGAAAGTACAGGTATTTGGGTTCAAAATGTAAGAAGTCAAAGTAAAAAGTCGTCAGAAAAATAAGTAGTGGAGTAAAGTACTGATACCAGAAAAATGTACTTAAGTACAGTAACGAAGTATTTGTACTCCACTACTTCCCACCTGTGCATAAAAGTACTTTAAAATTGTACTTTAGTGTGTGTACTTGTACCTCTGCCCCCTGACTGCTGGGTTCTCTCACCATGGCACTGTTTGACTCTTCAGTAAAGACCTCTCTCCTCTCGACATATGAGAAACCTCAGTATTGTTTGGCTGCTGGTAAATATTTAGACTTGTTTACTGCTCTTCATCCTGGCCTTCCTGTTGTCCTCCTGTGAAATTTGACCGGCTCCCAAATGTTTTTATGTTGGGATAAAGGTTTGTTTTATGTTAGTGCCAAAAAATTAACATGTTTGCTTATATAATACGTTTTTCCACGAAAAAAGAATCATGATCTCTTTCATTTGAAGAAGAGTAACACATGGTGGTAAAAAGTAGGAATAAAGTTGCCTTAAAAGGTGTAACTCAGATTTCGGTGATCATTCATACTATGTTTTATAAATACTAAAACTGGGAGGAGAAAAGTTGATCGGAAGACAACACAAGGGTTAAACACTTATATTTTAGTACATAGTAAATCAAAAATGCTCTTAAAGGTGGGGTAGGTAATTCACTTCAGAAACACTTTTTGTTATATTCCATAGAATGCTCTTAACATCCCGATAGCAATGAATACATGAAATGCTTTGACAATAAATACATTAAAAAATATCATCTGTGGAAGCCGTGGCGCTGTAAAAAGCACGACCAATCATCTGAGCCGGCCTGGCTAAAATAACTGGATGGCCTACCTGCCTGTCAGCCTTCCATCTGGGCACAAACTTATCTCGTGCCCTCATTGGTCATGTGCGCGTTCGTGTGTGTTGGAGGAGGGGCTCTGTAAGGAAGTGGGAGATTTTTTCCGGTTGTGTATTTTCAAATTCTAGCGCACTCGAGCTGGTTTCTCCAAAATTACCTACCCCACCTTTAAGTACTACAGTAAATGAACTGCATTACATTTAACCACTAGGATAATTACAGACCTGAGTACCACAGGTATGTTTATTTATGCCTTACGCCCCTTTATATAAATGCTTTTCATGCATTAATAGATTTGATAATGCCCATCTATGAAATTATTTTATATGACTAAAAGAAAAACCATGATTAGTTTGTGGAAAACAGCTACTTTACAGAATTGGCATCACATTTAAGTTTGCTGTATTTTAGGAAAACCGCCAAGATTGATGGCTGAACATATTTAAACATTTAATAGTCCATTCCTTGCACACTTTATGTAAAGAATATCCTGCTTTATAGTGTTAAAGGTCACCATGTCATGGCCATTTCTACTGATCATAATTCCATTGTTGAAGTCTACTAGAATACATGTATATTGTGCAATGTTCCAAACTCACATTGGTTTCTCATACAGCATCTCTGTATAGTATGTGTATTCACTCTGTCCTAAACGCCTTGTTGGAGCTCCTGCCCCCCCCTCCCTATGAGCCCAGTGGCCGTCTGCGAGACACCGTGGAACTCAGCCCGAAACACACACACACACACCCGCAGCCTGGCTGGGAGTTTGTGTGTGTGCCCAGGCTGAGTTCTGCGTTGTCTCGCCGACCCCACACCAGTGAGCCATCTGCGGAGCCGTTACGTCACTATACCCAAGAAGTAAACAATGGAAAAAGAGAAATGTCCAACGAGGCGTTCTGGGGCAGCATAGACAGGTCTTCTGTGTTAGAGTTTTACTCGCTACAGGGTGTACTTCGAGGGTTTGTGACTCTGCAGACCGTTTACATGCATAGCTTCATAACACACAAGGGGACGGGTAATAACCAGAAAAGCATGTCATGGGACCTTTAACTGAATATTTGCCCTTCATTAGTGTTTTGTCAGTTTATAGATTTGTTATCACGGTCATCTATATATTTTTTACTCTAATGCTGGTTTATTTCCATTTATGTTTTGAAAAGTTTATATTTGGAAATGTTTATTTCAACCCTTTTAATAACTATGTGCAATGCCTTGTTTTATAAAAATGTTATCCCAATTTGAGATCAATAAAGTATATCTTATCAAGTGAGAGCAACTGAACCCAATTGCTTTCTCAATTCCTCTCTTTGTGTTACACGCACAGAATTCTGTTCCTCACCATATTTTTGCGAGTGTGGCAGTGGTAGAAGTTTGTTTCTGTAACATTTCAGATTACACTGCAAACCCTCAAACATTAAAACAATCTCATGTTTGTGAAAAGTGTTTTTTATTTCAGGGTTGTGATCGTTTAGACAGAGGAAACTTTTTTTTAAACCATAGATTTGCACAAATGGGAATAAAGTGTGTATTTAAAATGGTCAAAATAAGACAACACTGAGGACTCCTGTTTAACATCACATTTATTTAAACAAAAATGTGCATTTAGGAGGAGCTGGAGGCGGCCACTGCGGCACGGCGGGGCTTGGGGGTGGTGCCTTCCCTGAAACCATTCCTGAGGAAAGAGAGGAGACGTTTAACAAAGGAGTCGAGAAAGACCACATGGAAGAAAAACTCACTACCTTTATTTGCTTTCTAAAGGTCCCCTATTATACTGTCTTTCATCAATATATTATAGGTCTCAGATACATCCAGAGCCTGTCTCTGATTGGCTGAAACACCAAACAGATCATTGCAGCGTCCCATAATCCCCTCTGTTTCAGCCCTGTTTCCAAAGTGCTGATTCTCTGTCTGTTACTTTAGATGAAAATAGATAAATAATAGTAATAGACAAAGAGAGAATCTTTGTTCCTGAAACTGTCAGAGTCTCTTTCCACAGAGGGGACACATGTTGATGTAGAAGAGACATGAAGAAGAGGGGACACATGTTGATGTAGAAGAGACATGAAGAAGAGGGGACACATGTTGATGTAGAAGAGACATGAAGAAGAGGGGACACATGTTGATGTAGAAGAGACATGAAGAAGAGGGGACACATGTTGATGTAGAAGAGACATGAAGAAGAGGGGACACATGTTGATGTAGAAGAGACATGAAGAAGAGGGGACACATGTTGATGTAGAAGAGACATGAAGAAGAGGGGACACATGTTGATGAAGAAGAGACACATGTTGATGTAGAAGAGACATGAAGAAGAGGGGACACATGTTGATGTAGAAGAGACATGAAGAAGAGGGGACACATGTTGATGAAGAAGAGACACATGTTGATGTAGAAGAGACATGAAGAAGAGGGGACACATGTTGATGTAGAAGAGACATGAAGAAGAGGGGACACATGTTGATGTAGAAGAGACATGAAGAAGAGGGGACACATGTTGATGAAGAAGAGACACATGTTGATGTAGAAGAGACATGAAGAAGAGGGGACACATGTTGATGTAGAAGAGACATGAAGAAGAGGGGACACATGTTGATGTAGAAGAGACATGAAGAAGAGGGGACAATATGGTGATGTAGAAGAGACATGAAGAAGAGGGGACACATGGTGATGTAGAAGAGACATGAAGAAGAGGGGACACATGTTGATGAAGAAGAGACATGAAGAAGAGGGGACACATGTTGATGTAGAAGAGACATGAAGAAGAGGGGACACATGTTGATGTAGAAGAGACATGAAGAAGAGGGGACACATGTTGATGTAGAAGAGACATGAAGAAGAGGGGACACATGTTGATGAAGAAGAGACACATGTTGATGTAGAAGAGACATGAAGAAGAGGGGACACATGTTGATGTAGAAGAGACATGAAGAAGAGGGGACACATGTTGATGAAGAAGAGACACATGTTGATGTAGAAGAGACATGAAGAAGAGGGGACACATGTGATGTAGAAGAGACATGAAGAAGAGGGGACACATGTTGATGTAGAAGAGACATGAAGAAGAGGGGACACATGTTGATGAAGAAGAGACACATGTTGATGTAGAAGAGACATGAAGAAGAGGGGACACATGTTGATGTAGAAGAGACATGAAGAAGAGGGGACACATGTTGATGTAGAAGAGACATGAAGAAGAGGGGACACATGTTGATGTAGAAGAGACATGAAGAAGAGGGGACACATGGTGATGTAGAAGAGACATGAAGAAGAGGGGACACATGTTGATGAAGAAGAGACATGAAGAAGAGGGGACACATGTTGATGTAGAAGAGACATGAAGAAGAGGGGACACATGTTGATGTAGAAGAGACATGAAGAAGAGGGGACACATGTTGATGTAAAAGAGACATGGAGAAGTGGATTTTGCATGATAGGGGACCTTTAAGGTAATATTCACAAAGCATACATAACAAAATAAAACACATTTAGGTACATAGATTAACTTCATAACAGATGACAAGTATGAAAATAAATCAAATTAGTTGTTTTCTCCATTATATATATCATTTACTAAGTTATTATCTTTTAGCCAATTCCTATTCTAATTGATCACTACCCTTAATATCAGAAATACACATCTCACTACTAAAATCAACTTCATAGTTTCTCATCCACTGCCTGTAAGTTGGAGGTTAGTGCGCTAACTAGCTATGTAACCAGCTAAAGTAACCACAGCTGTTAGTAGCTGATGATTAATTCAAAATATTTAACTCTCCGTGACTTGTTTAACAAACAGGACGTCTGTGGCACAAATGACACACAAGTTAAGCATTTGTATTTAAAAGAAAAAGTAACAAACAAGTCACTAATAAAGTCAGGTTTACCAAGATCAGGCATCCACTCTGGTGTAACTCATAACCATGATGGATCAGATGCTCTGAAGTGTCCCAGTTAACGAGCAAACACCTGAACTGGTGCTACTGGATATATTTCTACACTTGTGTTGCATGATGGGAGGATAGTTGCTCTTCATCAATGATGCTTACCTCAGAGAAATCACTGATATCATTTTTGAATCAATTGTTCAGACATTTATTTTTCAACATCATCGGCAAGCAGCATTGATGAGTCTTACAACGAGACCGTATATCCTTTAAATATAACGGACAAAATGTGAAAATATAACACTAAATAAGAAGCTTGAGCGATGTAATACCATAGATGCGGTGTAAGTGCTTCTATTCTGAAAAACTGAAGTCACCATTTTGTTCTAATTGCACATCCTTCATCACAAAATGTGGTCCTTTTGTTATTGAACCGTCAAATCATATCTTTGGTTGATTAAACCGAGTTGATACGAGCAAAAGGATTTTCTTATTAGCATCTGAATGTAATAAAAACATGGCAAACTAAATTTCTACATATATTTTACTGCGATTACACTTCATATCAAGTTCGGTGGTGGACTTTAGGTTCAGTTCAGGAAAATAAAGCAATCTAGTCGAGGCAGTGTTGACAGTTCAAGGTACCAGATATTTAGTTTACAGCTTCATGTTTACAGTCTGAGTAAAAAGCTGTGTATTCAGGACAAATATTAAAGTAATGACATTGTTGTGTGTGTGGGTGTAAACATTTGTTTTAACCCATATTTGTTTGCGAAGACACCCTTATTTTGTTAATTTTGCCATGTCAATAACACTGGCAACATAACACTGTTTCTCATCACAGCCTGATATCAATATGATCCTGATCCCACTTGGCAGGTAGAGCTGCAGGAAGCTTGCTTATGCTCCGCGTTGAAAATATGTCGACAGCAGATCCAATGTTTGTAGTTAAAAGTTGATAAATCAAAAATGTTTTACTACAATCTGGATTACTTAGAAAGTGTTTATCGTGTCTCACAGATGTACGAGTGAGATCACGCTAACACACGTTCACTGTGGTGTTTAGATGACGTTACATCGTTTACGTTACTGACACTTTTCATACATTAAAGATGAAGTGGAAAAAACTCTCATGGGAGTACACCAGAAACACATTTAGAAAGTTCTCTATAGAGAGGCGAAGTCCCGACCATCTACTTCCGCCCCATGGGACCTTATTTCGGAAAAATTATGTATTGAAGTCAATGGGGAGAGAAAGATTATCTCTCGATCCCGTTTGAATTGTGCCATGAATTACACATATGATGTTTGTCAATTTAAAAGATAATTTCCAAGTCAAAAATGTCACAGTTTGTCGTAAAACTGTTGAAATATAAGACTATGAAAAATACGCAACTAGAAAGACTACAAATCCCAGAGTCCCGGTCCCGCATGCTGGCTCTTAGGAACCGACTAACTCCCCTTGTGTGTATGTACAGCTCTCAACATGCCCAGACTTGGAGTGATTTTCACCTCTTTTAATACTTTCCGCCTCATTCTGAAAGAAAGAAGTGAAATGTGCCAACGTGACGGCCGTCTTGGTGTGTGGTGCGAGACGGGAGATGTAGTTCATTGAGCGGTTTCACACAAACAAAAGTGTTACTTCACAGTTTTACGACACATTTTATTTTTTTAACTTGCAAAATTATCTTTTAAATTGACAAACATCATGTGTGTAATTCGTGGCACAATTCAAACGGGATCGAGAGATAATCTTTCTCTCTCCATTGACTTCAATACATACTTTTTCAGAAATAAGGTCCCATGGAGCTCCCCGGAAAGGGAGGGACATCGCCTCTCCATTTGAGAACACTAGGATCTCTTGTAGGTGATGTTTAACAACTAAAAGCATCACACCTGTGTCTATCTTCCCATTTCATTTATTTTAAAAAGTACTTTTCCTAACACATGTATATGGAAAAGCAGCATGTCTGGTTATCTTTTAAATGAATACGTCACAATAAAAAGTCTGAAATAAAGCCCTGCTCCGTGTTGTGTGAATATCACATCTTAAAATCGTACCTGAATCTGCGGTAGACGACCTTCAGATGCCTCAGACGGCCGGTTCCAGTGGTGTTCCTCCTCTTGGCCTTAGCGCTCCAGTTGTCTGCAAAACAAAACCAAAAAATAAATCCGGTTGAACCAGAAAATTGTTCTTTTTCAAGGTGTAACTGATAACCATGATGGATCAGATGCTCTGAAGCGTCCCAGTTAACGAGCAAACACCTGAACTGGTGCTACTTGATATATTTCTACACTTATGTTACATGATGGGAGGATAGTTGCTCTTCATCAATGATGCTTACCTCAGAGAAATCACTGATATCATTTTGAATCAATTGTTCAGACATTTATTTTTCAACATCATCGGTAAGCAGCATTGATGAGTCTAACAACGAGACCGTAGAGATAACTAAAACGAGTCGGTTTTACCTACTATGATTCACTGACTGGATATATCTAAGAAATAGTGTTTTTCTGTCCTTTACAGAATCAACTGCAATGTTTTCAATAAATATGCCTAAATTATAAGCTTAAAAAAAGGGCAATTATTGTGAAATTCGGCTCACGTTTAAGTCATACTTCAAACACAAGTGAAACAATTCTAATTGTCCGACTCCAGCGTCTTTCAAGAGAGCATTTTTCTACTTTTGTTCGTCATAAAATCAAGTTGGGTATTAGCGACAATTGCAGAACAAAAATATATTACTATAACCCTTTAAGAAATACACTACATTTGTACATTTAACACGTTTAGACTGCAAGTGTCAATATGCACATTGACATTGATCTTGTTGCACTGTCACCGCTACCACCTCTGCTTTTACCACACTTATATATTAGTGTCTATTTTTTTACTGTAGTGAGAGTTGCCAAAGAAATGTCGTTGTACTTCGTATGATGACAATAAAATATATATTCAATGGAAGTTGTGATGGTAATTTTTTGACATGATCTGCAAAGTATTAAATAACAGTTTTGGGCATTTAAAAAAACACTTTATTGGGTCACTTACACTTCCTCTTGCGCTTCTCGGGGTAGCCACACTTGCCGCAGGAGGACTTCTGCAGATGGTAAGCCTTGGATCCACAACGACGGCACAAAGTGTGCGTCTTGTTCCGGCGCTTTCCGAAAGATGAAGTTCCCTTCGTCTAAAGGAGGTGGGAATAAATAAAAAGAGGCAATCAGAAAAACAATTCCCACAGATTTCTATCATGAAGGGTTAGAAAGCTCTGCATGGTCTTGTCTCAGAACAGAAGTACGAATCACAGGAAATCATATGTTCAGACATTTGTGTTTGGAACATCACAGACAAGACTCTGAGCAGCAAACACATGATATGTAACGCAAGGGATGCAATATGGATCTGTGCTCAAATATAGATTCACTTAGACACATTAAGTACACCTGTAGTAGAAACCATTAGAGCTACTCTGCCATTAAGTGTACTTTCAAGATGCCTATTATTAACACCAGTTGTTAGGTTTTAAGCCAATTATGTCAACATTGAGTCTAAAGTAGTGTTGTAGCACTGACTACATTATAGTGAGGTGTTCTGCCACCTCATGTACACAATCAGGAATACAGAAACGCCTCAATATAAAACCGTAAAGTAAAAAACATGTGCATCATTTCGTTTTTAAAATACAAAGCACCAAAAAGGCATTCTGTCCAACTCTATTTTCTGGTGGTGTTTTACTGACTACATTATATAATGGCGTTTCAACATGTCTGCCCACCTCATGCATACATAAGATATAAAACCATCAATATAAAAGCAGTCAAGAACAACCCTAAACCCTCAAAAGTACATCGGTTTCCTAAAATACAAACAAGAACTCGTGCTCAACTTTGAATGGAAGAAGTATAGTAGAGGTGAAGCATTGAACTTCCTTAGATTGTACAGGTGTGAGCAAGTTGCCAATTCTTGTTTACATATTATTAAGCACAAAAAGGAAATCCAATTTTCAGTTTGCAGCTACAAAAAAAAGGCAGTTTCATGCCTTCAGTGTGTACACTCTGAGGAAGCACACTTAAAGCTAGTTATGCTAACGGCTATGGACAAGCTAGTAAGCATTGTACCTTGCTAAAGCCCAACACCAACAATAACGTGATTTATCTGTAGTAACTTGGCGGGTATAACAGGATTATTTAGAGTACTTTGAACGTTATGTGGTGATTTTTTACCGGTTAATTTAGGCCCATTATGCTTACGATCCTCAATGCTAACAGTAGCATCTGAACACTGTCTTCCTAGCAACAGGAACAATGTTATTTTTTTATTAAAATCAACTTTCATCCCGAAAATATTTCACCCAAACGGTAAAGATGATTATCCGACAAGGAAACAGCAACAGTTCGTGTCGGATAAATGAAACATTACTTAGATGTTTGGAGATTTCTCTCCGCCAGCGTTGCTGCTTACCATTTTCGTCCGGTGGCTAAGGGAAAAGAGACCGGAAGGGGCGAGTGTTCCGCTTGAAATCCCCTCCGCGCTGCTTCCTGTGTAACACTGAAATGTGTCCCCCGCAGTTAAAGAATAGAAGCACATCAGATTTTTTTTTTCTTCAATCAAATCTAAATCATTTAAGTCCAATAAGTCTAACTTATTCATACAAACACTGACTGAACAACAAACTCATAAAATAACAACAAATAATGCATTATTTCTTGGTTTCATTTTATGTTGCTGACGTTTTTTTGGGTAATTAATAATGAATAAAAAGCAGTTAGTAGAGAATACTGTTTATATTTTTAATTAACCTTATTTAATATATTTTCCAATGTGTTGTTTAAAGGTCCCATGTCATGCTTTTCTGGTTATTACCCGTCCCAGGGGCGGACTGGGACTACAAATCAGCCCGGGACTCTGGACCGGCCCACTTCGGTACCGCCGGCCCACCTCGGTACCGCAAGTAATTACCGCTAGTAAATTGTCGACGGGACGGGACGGGACGGGACAGGGGGGGTGCTAGTGACTTATCCGACCGGCCCACATCGTCCGACCGGCCGACGGCCAGTCCGCCCCTGACCCGTCCCCTTGTGTGTTATGAAGGTTTTTCTGCATGTAAACGGTCTGCAGAGTCACAAACCCTCAAAGTACACCCTGTAGCGAGTAAAACTCTAACACAGAAAATACCTGTCTATGCTGCCCCAGAACGCCTCGTTGGAGATTTCTCTTTTTCTTCCTGGGTATAGTGACGTAACACACACACACACACTCGGCGGGACGTTGCGAGGCTCGCTGCTGCGAGGAGCGGACACTGTGAACTGGCTCACTGGTGTGGGGTCGGCGAGACACCGCGGAACTCAGCCTGAGCACACACACAAACTCCCAGCCAGGCTGCGGGTGTGTGTGTGTTTCGGGCTGGGTTTCGCTGTCTCGCAGACGGCCACTGGGCTCACAGGGGGGGGGGGGGCAGGAGCTCCAACAAGCCGTTTAGGACAGAGAGTGAATACACATACTATACAGAGATGCTGTATGAGAAACCAATGTGAGTTTGGAAAATTGCACAATATACATTTATTTTAGTATACCTCAACAATGGAATTATGATCAGTAGAAATGACCATGACATGGGACCTTTAATTGATTTCATGTACTATGTGGATTTCTATATTGTGTTCAACCTGCCGTGTTGTTTATAAAAATATTTCCAAAATTAAACCTAGCCATACGCCTAATATAGAAATGCAATCATAATTATGAAACAAAATAAAAACAGATACTTAAAACCCAGTGTAAACATATATGTTATAAAAGATCATTGATCATTTGTAAGCATACACTCATAAAGAGGAAGCCATGGAAAATGTGTGTTTAATGGAATTACAATAAACATTTACACACAAAAAACTCTAGCTTAGGATCAGCATACTTGTTTTGTCTGCCTTATGCATCTTGAATTTACTATATCATGTATACAAACACAGTAGGAGGCAGCAAGGGTCAGTCGGAACCAATAACGTTTTATTCCAGCAGGTTAATCAAGTCACACTCATGATAACAAGTCAATGACAGACAGAATCAAACCGTGGATAAAGGGCAGAAATGAGCATGTCTTTGCAGGGTGTCTGGTTCACTCTACAAACTATCCTTTGTGTTGAACCCTCTTGTGTATTTCCCTTTGGAGATATAATGCCCTGCAGGAGGAGCTGTAGGGCAGAACATGCCGGAGGAACTGCATACTGTCTGCAATCTGGCCAGAGATCCTCAGGTCCTGAAGGCATTTGGCTGCACATCAGGAAGTCTGGGCTTCTTTGCTTTCTTCTTCTGACCCAGATAGGCTCACTGGCAGAAAATAAATTGAATGGCTAAAGCGTGTAATGCTGCTGGTGTTTCCAATTGACTTTTCGGTGGTTCAAGATGCAGAAAGCTTAAAGTAACACCACTGAAATGTGCTTAACAGATTTGGCTAATCACTACTTATGATCATGATCATAACACCAGAGGGAGCTCCACAAATCATGTAAAACCCAGATTTGGCACAAAAAAGGGGGAATACACGTTTCGCAATTATGCCACATCAAGGTGGAACGCTCTTCCCACAACTGTAAAGGAAAGTAAAACTATACTTACCTTCAAAACCTATCTTAAAGAGCACCTTCGGGGGAGAGCATTGCAAAACTGGCCCCGGTAATGGTACAAATCTCAACCTGTCGTACAATGGACAGCTTCCCCCCCCCATCTATGTATATACTCGCATTTTAGACTCTGTTACTAACTGTATATCTGTAGACTTGGTATGTCTTAAATGTCCGGTTAGGATGTATTAGAACGAAATCTAAAATGAAAATTGTAAATAAGCCATCTGTATGTAAAAAACCACCTGTATGTAAATTGTAAATAAGCCATCTGTATGTCAAATATGTCTTATATGTCTTAAATGATATGATGAATTGGAAATGGAGGACCCTGATGTAAACAAGACGAAAGTCTTTCTCTGGTCTGCATCCCCTTAACAATTGTATGTTTTGAGCTGTACTGTACTGTACCCAATATACAAGCTGTTAATAAACTTTTCAATCAATCAATCAATCAATCAATGATGCAGGGCTGATTGCACTTCAGTAGTCTGTTAAAGGATAGTACAAAGACACAAGATTGATGGTGTTTTGGTCAGGGCAATGTGGATTCTTTTGATTATTTGTTATACTTTTATGATGTTCAAGTGATCTCTGTTATAATAGTTGATGCATGCTGTTGTGAGTGTATGAGTGTGTGTGAGTGTATTTCAAAACCACTGTTAATGCACTTCCTGTAGCCTAAATAGGTTTATTGTGGGACTGCATATTTCATATTTGTTTAATATTTATTATTGCTTTGTGGCTGTTTTGAGTACTGCTCCTCAACCATCCAAATGTCCCAAAATGGCACGACAACGTATTCCAATATTTCCACATTTTCCACATTTCAATTAAAACATTCTGTCTCGATAATGATGGTCTGTCAGGTATTTACCTCCCACAATGCACCTCTGCTGCTTGTAAAGGTGCAAATGGCCAGATGGGTTTTGATGACACATTAAAACAGCTGTCAGGGTGGACAATGGCAGGAATCAATAGCACTAATAAAGTCTCCTTCTGTCAGGACCTTGGCTTTTAAGGAGCTGCAGCTGTGAGCTTTCAACAATGCTGCTGTCAAGGGTTTCAATTGGCTGACAAGGTCGTAAAACAAGCACTAAAATAAAGCCATTATGCAGAATGTAATCATGCATAAAGAAAATAGACAAATGCTGAGACGTCAAACCAGCTGCAGGAAGGAAAGCATGCACAGTGGTTTTGCATGGAATCTCATTTAATCTAAAAACACAGTTTTAGTGACTGGGACATTTGGACCAGCGTAAGGAGGTCAGGTGAGCCAGGTGTGTGTATTTGTTTTATTTAAAAATTAAATTAAATTCAAAGCTTTATTGTCATTTGCACATTAGCTACAGTTATACAGTAGAGTTATGTACATTATGGATGTTCTTTAAAAAGTTCAGGTGTTTAATAGTCTTATGGCCTGTGGGATAAAACTGTCCCTGAGTCTGGTGGTTTCAGAGCCCAGGTGTGTGTGTTTCAGAGCCCAGGTGTGTGTGTTTCAGAGCCCAGGTGTGTGTGTTTCAGAGCCCAGGTGTGTGTGTTTCAGAGCCCAGGTGTGTGTGTTTCAGAGCCCAGGTGTGTGTGTTTCAGAGCCCAGGTGTGTGTGTTTCAGAGCCCAGGTGTGTGTGTTTCAGAGCCCAGGTGTGTGTGTTTCAGAGCCAAGGTGTGTGTATATTCAGAGCCAAGGTGTGTGTGTGTTTCAGAGCCCATGTGTGTGTGTTTCAGAGTCCAGGTGTGTGTGTTTCAGAGCCCAGGTGTGTGTATATTCAGAGCAAGGTGTGTGTGTTTCAGAACCCAGGTGTGTGTATATTCAGAGCAAGGTGTGTGTGTTTCAGAGCACAGGTGTGTGTGTTTCAGAGCACAGGTGTGTGTATATTCAGAGCCACGGTGTGTGTTTCAGAGCCCAGGTGTGTATGAAGGAGAACATGATGACCTTGGGTTTTGGCTGAGTGAGGAGCCTCTGAATGAGGAGGCGCGCCCCCGGCTGGCGGAGGAAGAAGAGCATCCTGATCCTGCTGCTTCCACATTTCAGTCACGCAGCTTTGCTCAGATTTCAGATGAGGCATGGACGATGTGTTTTTTTTTTCTGTCGCAGACCGTATCTAATGAAGAGAAATCGCGCTTGGCATCGATGCTTTTTGCATGTTTAGGGGATTCATTGTAGATAAATAACCTTCTGAGTGCGTATTTGTCTGGATAAGCATTGATTGCACCAACAGAGCATCTGCACCTCGTCGAGAGCGACACAAAACAAGAATCTCCTGCGGATCGTTTCATCATTTTACACCTTTTTCATGCAAACCATACGAAGATAATCATATTTTTGTTGATACATTTGGACTCAGATCGATTTGACATCCATATATTGCGATGCGTATCCTCCAACGCAATGATGCTGCGGTGCAGGAGCAGTGAAGCAGCCTGAGAAAAGATGCTGGACAATGTGCTGTCTGGGTGTTACAGGACCGTATCAGTAATCTAATGTTGCTAATAAAGGGATTCATAGAGAATTAACCGTATTTTTTGGATAATCTGCATTAACTGCACACTCGTCGAAAGCGACAGAAAAACAGACCCCCCTGTGGATGGTTTCATTTTTTTTTTGTACACCTTTGACGTGCAAAGTATACAACAAATCTGCATTAATTGCACACTGCACCTCGTCGAAAGCGGCAGACAAACAGACCCCCCCTGTGGATGGTTTCATGTTTTTTTTTTACACCTTTTTTCCGTGCAAAATATACAAAAATTTGGACACAGATTGGTTTGATATCGACACACTGCGATGCATATCATCCAGCAGCATGATGCATGTGAAATAGCCTGAGAGAAGGTGCTTCTGGACACCGTGCTGTCCCGGTCCCCGGTCCTGAATGCACGGGAGACAGACACCGACCCGGGTGTCACCGTCAGCCCCGGATGCTGCGCCGAAGAATGGGATACGCCGACCCCTCGTCGGGTAAAGACATCCTCGGCAATAGGTCTCTTTGTTTTATATTCATTTGCGCATTTGGACTTGTCACGCTATTGCAACAGATTCTCTATGGAAAAAACTACATCAAGAGGTAAGTGTTGTCTGTGTTCAGAGACAATGGGCTGTAGTGAAGGCCTTGGTGTTTACACTGTAAGGATTTAAATGCATTCATAGCCCTTTTAATGACTGAATGACGTAAATAATGAGTGGTAACATTACAGATTGTCAGTATGGGAGTAGTCTGTCTGAAGATGCATGGAGAAAACAAGCTTTCATGGCTGGAAAGAAGAAAAGCAATTAACCATCCATCTTTTTTTCCCAGTAGCATTTAGAAACCATTGGATTTATTTTGTTGATATTTTCTGAAAGCGAAGCATCACATTCATGCCATACACAGAGCTCCTGCAGCTGTGTATGGTAATGTTTTCTCTTCCTTTTTTTACCCCCCCTCCTCCAAAGATCTTTATTTGATTTTCTTGACTGGTGGTAGCCTACATCTTACAGGTATCAGGTTGAGGTTATAATAAAGCAGCTTGAAGATATTGTAGCCGATGATGATGATGAGCACAGACATGATGAAGATGATGTGTATTTCTTATTGGTCCCTGTTAAATAAATCACGTCAGCAGTCTGCAGGCAGCACTGCAGAGCCAGGTTTTGTAATAGCTCTGCATCATGAGTCTGGGTTGTTGAGCTGCTCCACTTTTTGCACAAAACACCAATAAAAGCCCTTTTCTTCACACTCTGAGACACATTTCAGTGTGAGACGAGCAGATGCTGAGAAGCCGGGATGTTTTATCTTAAGGTGGTTACAGGAAATGAAACAAAATGTGAAAACTTTACCCCCCACCTCCAGATATTTTACAGCACATATATGTTCAAGCAAAAACATATATATGGTGTAATCTGAAAGCTAACCCCCCCACAGCTAAACCCCCCTCCCCTGGTACTCAATGTGGATTCATGGCATCTCCATCACTGCGGTGTGAGATGCATGAATTCAGACACACACACACACACACACACACACACACACACACACACACACACACACACACACACACACACACACACACACACACACACACACACACACACACACACACACACACACACACACACACACACACACACACACACACACACACACACACACACACACACACCTTTCAGGCTCATGCAGCAGCAGCCATTTTGCTACAGTCTGTCTGCACACACACCCCGTAATGCAAGTGGGGGAGAGAGAGAGGAAGGAGACGAGCGAGAGACTGAGCGGGAGTGGGGGAAATGTGTGAGTGTGTGTGTGTGTGTGTGTGATGCAGAGAGAGAGAGAAGACGTCATCTTATGACATCTCTTCAAGCGTAAACAACCAAAAAGCAGCCCACACCATCACTGCGACCACACCCAAAAGAATGACTCAAAATACAGAAACACCTGCACCATTTCCCTAAAACCCATTTACCTTCATTATGATGTTTGTTTAGAGTCAAACCCAACATTTACAGTCCTGGTGCTGAAGATTTTAAACCATCATTCAATACCATTCACTCTATTAGGGCAATTTACTGTGTCAAGGCTGCAAGGAGCAATTTAATGGTCCTTAGAATCTTAGAAATAAGGTAAAAATTAATGTGTTTAAGGCGTTTATGTCTGGAGAGCCCAGAGAAGTTTTCTCATATTCTCCCTTAAAGAAACGAACTATGCTTTGAACATATGAAGCCTCTCAGATCTCTAAAATGAGTTACAACATCCCCATGATGAGAGGATTGTGAATCACCTGCACCAAATGGGCCTCCTCTGATCATTTCCCCGTGATGTTTTTGCAGTGAAAATTGAAGCATTATAGGCCAAGATATCCTGAGTTTAAGTCTGAATTCAGCAGTTCTGATAAGACACAGACAAGTGTGTGTTAAGAACCACACCCAGACTCTTTTCTTGCTAAAGTACTGGTAGGTATTTTCAGGGAATCACAGGAAAAACATCTGTGCAAATTACCGTCATTTAAAAAGAAGGCAGCAGAGGAGACATGTGGATGCTTAGATTGAGAGAAAGCTAGAAAACATCTTTGCAAATTACCGTTATCTCGAAAGGCAGCGAAGGAGACGTGTGGGGGTTAAGATCGAACGAAAGCTTAGTAAGTAAACGTTTCATTAAACTTACATGAGCAGCTCACTTTACATGACCTGAGGGCAAAGGGCAATGCTCTTAAGACGCTCAAACGTTCCTATAAGTGAGGAACATTGTGAACTAGAGTCACATTAATCAACGTGATGTCGGCCTTCTCTTACTTTAAGATGAAGTATATGTCGGATTGTGAAATGGCAGATTCAAGAGGAAAGCGTATTAAATGATCCCAGTGAGTGACACACTTCTGCAAATTAAGATATGTTTGTTTGACTCTTTTTGACTCAAAGAGGGCGATATTTAAGAATAGTCTCTGGCCCTGCATCGGGTTGGTTTGTAACCATCCAAAAAACAAGTGGATTTGCGACGTTTGATAATCATTTGATCATGTTATATATATATAAAAAAATCTAAAAATGTCCCTCACAGTTATCTGAGAGGTCAAGGAGACATATTTGAAATGCTAGTCTATCTCCCCATCAGTCCAAAACTCAAAAATAAATACAATTCACATTATATAAAACAAAGAAAAGCAGAAAATCCGGCAGAAAAAAACCTAAAACCAGCAACTATTTGACATTCTTATTCTTAAATGATGACTATTATCTATTGGCTTCACCTTCACATTTTGTAACTCTGACTGTATGTTGTGAGCCCCTATGTATTTGGGCTGGATCTTCACTATTTTGAGCAACCTCTTATGTGTTTTTAAGGGCTGTACATATAGACTTTGCACATTGCAGCACATCGCTAGTTCATAATTTATAAGATGCAGCACTTCCACCAGCCATTCCCTGTAAAAAGAAAAGCCAAGAAGGGAGAGCTCCCATCAAAAACAACCGCGTTACATTTCCTGTTTTCATAGAGACAGTAAGGTGGCCATCTTAAGGAGCTCTTGGTTTTTACAGGAAAGACCTCAGGGCATATTATCAGACTGTCAATGTGCCAGAGATACTCTTAAAACAAGCCAAGTCACTAAATCCCAGTCCTTCCTGCTTTCAGGTCCCATTAACGAGGCTCGGGGCAGAATCAGAGCACACTAACTCGACTCTTGTTGTTGTTTCTCCGATCTAATGCTTGGATTAGTGTCTGAACCGCGCTCATAATTGAGTCACGGGAGATAAATGGTCTCTCTTAATGTTTGAGTCGAAGACAGTGGATTGATGTGTGTGTCCAAGGAAGCCACATGAGATTGATTAAGGTTTTATCCGTAGCCACAAGATTGGGAAATATCCGTTTATGTATTATTGATTGGTTCAAGCTGTAAGGGAGTGTTCTGTGAAGTCCACTGAGACAAATGTAACATTTGTGATATTGGGCTATATAAATTAACATTGATTGATTGATTGATTTTGGTGACGATTAAAGAGGCCCTATTATCCTTTTCCCTTTCAATACAATACAAAGGGGCTTTATTGGCATGACCACATTTGAAACATAGTATTGCCAAAGCATTCCACACAAGGCGTTATAACCAGGGGTGCACATAACTTTCTCAGTGAGGTACTCAGATGAGTACCTGGAGTCAGTGTTTGGTACTCCAACTTCTGGCTCCACGCGACGTTATGAGATGAAGCCCTCTGTATCGCGAACGTAGATGGGGGGTGCGAGTGAAGTACTTCAGGAGAGTCGACGGGGGGGGGGGGGGGGGGGGGGGGGGGGGTGGGGGGTGGGGAGGGGGGGTGCTAGTGGAGTACTTCAGGAAAGTCGACGGGGGGGGGGAGGGGGGGTGCGAGTGGAGTACTTCAGGAAAGTCGACGGGGGGGAGGGGGGGTGCTAGTGGAGTACTTCAGGAAAGTGGACGGGGGGGGGGGGGGGGGGGGGGTGCTAGTGGAGTACTTCAGGAAAGCGACGGGGGGGGGGGGGGGGTGCTAGTGGAGTACTTCAGGAAAGTCGACGGGGGAGGGGGAGGGGGGGTGCTAGGAGAGTACTTCAGGAAAGTCGACGGGGGGGGGAGGGGGGGTGCTAGGGAGTACTTCAGGAAAGGAAGTCGGGGGGAGGGGGAGGGGGGGTGCTAGTGGAGTACTTCAGGAAAGTTGACGGGGGGGAGGGGGGGTGCTAGTGGAGTACTTCAGGAAAGTTGACGGGGGGGGGGAGGGGGGGTGCTAGTGGAGTACTTCAGGAAAGTCGACAGGGGAAGGGGGAGGGGGGGTGCGAGTGGTGATCAGCTGATTTTGCGCAGTTCCCCAGTGTGTGCGCAGGGCACAGTAGGGGGGGGGGGGGGGAGTCTCCCTCCGCAGCCGGTTGGCGTAGTTTTGGCACAATTCCGTTGTACATACCGACGGTAACAGCAGCCCCGTCTGTGCACACGGAGACCGACTCTGTCGTCCAGTGATCGAAGAGTCTTCTGGAAAAGCTTCACAAGTACGTCGGTACGCAAATGCGCTTAGTGACACAAGTGACGGTACGCATTTCAGATTTTTGCCGCGCATGCGTACCTGTTATGTGCACCCCTGGTTATAACAGAACAAACACAAATGTCAACAATACATATATGTATAACACAACAGCATAACACAAAACATACTGTAGGCTATATGCCAACAACGTGCAAATAAAAATATATACACATATTATTCCTCTTGTGTGTTATATAGGTTTCTGTGCAGGTAAACGGTCTGCTAAGGCTAAAATTGGCTGGCTAGCGTTCCAACACATTGTACGTGATAGGCTAAGGGGCGGGACATCTCTAAGCGGTTGACCAATCACAACAGAGCCGGCCAGCTAACCAATCAGAGCAGCTCTGGTTTCACACTGATACATGAACTTAAAAACGAGTAGAATACATTTTAAGATACATGCTAATATAAATCATGCAGGTTTGATGAGCTTTTCTGTCAACCTGTCCTCCTAAAGCGAGGCACAGACACATTTCTGATTCTCGTGGGTGCAGCTGTTTGCAAAGTGTCATTGAGGAGGTTAAGTGGCACTGAGAAAATGCGCCTGCAGATCAGTATTGTCCCAGAATAATGACTGCTCGATCACATAAAGGCTCTCTGGATTCAGATTTAGCACAACGCCCACTGAGCACTCTCAGAAATGAGTCACACATGAATCATATGCATAATAATCAGCTGGCAACGGGAGAAAATGGTGTGTTCACAATCGCAGTTAAACACCCAACCTTTAGTATGTAAAGCAGATTTTTAAAGGGTTCAACAAATCCCAGGTGTTTCCAAAGCCTGATATTGTTTATTTCTCTGTTCCATTGACCTGCATTTTTGTCCAAAGAAATACTCAAAATACAGCAATGTGCCATGCCATTTCACTAGGTGACATTTTTCTTGATTATAATGATGTTTCTTTTGAGTCAAACCCGACGTCCAGAGTCCTTGTGCAATAAATATTGAACCAACTAGTGATGTATTTAATTATTGAATAATTGGTTGTTCTAAAATAGGGATAAATGTGCATCCCAGTTTCTCAAAGTCTAAGTAGTATTCAGTCCAAAACCCACAAATATTTACATAAAAGGTGGGGTAGGTAAGTTTGAGAAACCGGCTCGAGATACACTTTTTGTTATATTCCATGGAATGCTCTTAACATCCCGATAGCAATGAATATCTGAAGTGCTTTGACAAAAAATCCATAAAAAAATGTCATCTGTGGAAGCCGTAGTACTGTAAAAAGCACGACCAATCATCTGAGCCGGCCCGGCTAAAATAACTGGATGGCCTACCTGCCTGTCAGCCTTCCATCTGTGCACAAACTTATCTCGTGCCCTCATTGGTCATGTGCGCGTTCGTGTGTGTTGGAGGAGGGGCTCTGTAAGGAAGTGGGAGATTTTTTCTGGCTGTGTATTTTCAAATTCTAGCGCACTCGAGCTGGTTTCTCCATTCTTACCTACCCCACCTTTAATATAAGATAAAACAGAAAAGCAGGACATCTCCATATCTTAGGAGGCTTAAAACTGCATTTTTTTTGACATTTTTGCATGACTTTAATGATTCACTTATGATTAGAATCTACTGCTCTCCTCATCTCTCTAAAATTAGAAGTAGTTACAACATCCTCTTGATGTGAAGGCTATGAATCACCAACATGTCCTCTGATATATTCACTGTGATGGTATAGGGAGAATGTATGCAACAGAGACAAGAATATCCTGACAACATATAGTCCTTAACTTGGGATAACCTCTGTTTTCATCACCTTAAAAAGTGATATACTGCATAAAAGTATGTCCAATAAAAGCCTCGTAGAAAGTCTGTTGGCCTTCTCGTCCTCTGCAGTCATTTGCAATTCACAGAAACACTTTCCACAAGTTCTGCGCCTCCCTTAAAGCCCTGTGATTTCCATATAATCAACACTCCTGCAGGGCAATAAAGCCCAGTGTGAAGGTTTGAATCACACCTAGCATAAATGAACCATTGAAACCATGACGTCATTAACAGGAAATCCATTTTTTTAACCATGTTTGGTGTCATACTTTTTTTCTTGAGCCAAAAAAGCTGGTCCCCCTCGTGTGTGTGTGTGTGTGTGTGTGCGTGCGTGCGTGCGTGCGTGCGTGCGTGCGTGCGTGCGTGCGTGCGTGCGTGCGTGCGTGCGTGCGTGCGTGCGTGCGTGCGTGCGTGCGTGTGTGTGTATTTAAGAAAGTGTGAGTGAACACATGGGCGTGGTTGGTATGTTTTGTTTGCACAGCTAAGGAACCAACAAACCCCAAATAAACGTACTTATTTTTGTTACTAGTGCGCAACAGTTTAACCGACTCAAAGGGGACGAGACAGGAAATTGGACCGGTCCCGTTAATTTCTCGGATGACGGATCTCTGAAGCCGGCCAGAAATGGGAGGAAAAGGTACCTTCACCTGTGTGCACAACACCTCTGTGGAAAGAGAGTGTGTGAGGGAGAGAGAAAGAGTGTGTGTGTGTGTGTGTGAGAGATATATATGAAGTAACAAATACATGGTAGTTGTGCCTCAGCCCTGCATGTGACTGGGCTTCTCTTCAGATGCTACAGACAGTTGGAGCTGCAGCACATGTACACTTTTTTTGCTGTTTTTTTCATTTTGAAATCTACAGGTTTAGGAAGTTTTATGAGCAAGGAGGGTGGACGCCATTAACACATATTTAACTCTAACTTAACCTCTGCATGTTGACAGATGTTTCCGTCAGAATTTTCAGCCAGATTCAGAGACCGTAATAGTCACACCCTGCCTATCCGATATTAAGAAGAAACAAAAAAAAAGGTAGGACAGTCTGAAGGCATTTTTTAGTACTTTCACAGAAACCCAAGAATGCCTCTTTATTTGTCATTACTCTGAAAGGTATAAACTCTCATATTTTTTCAGTGGTGGTTGCACTTCAGATTTTGCTCTTGCATGTTGTCTGATCCCGTCCACCTCGACTTCCCCCCAAATCTCCCATTACCCCCAGAAGCTGGTTGAAAAAAGTCTCCTGTTGATGTACTGGCTTCTCTCTCCCGTACGTCTGTTTCCATCCAGCACCCATTTGCCGAATGCTCTCAACCTGTGTGTCATGTGTTCTGCACAGCTGTGTGTTTATGCCATAGTGTGGACACTTCTCTCTGCTCCCCCCCCCCCCCCCCCCCCCCCCCCCCCCTATCTCCCCCTTCTCACATCTGCATTGTCTCTCTCTGCAAACCTGGATTTTTAAGTCCCCCCTTTTCTTTAATCTCCTTGGTACAAAAAGACAGAAAAGTGCAATATTTTCTGCACAGAAAAAGCTTCTAAATTGTCTCATTCTGGATTGGTTTTGAACCCCTAAAACACCATAAGATGAAATTCTGTCTTGCTGTTAGATCCAAACTGAGAACACTTGCAAAGGTTTCATCATCTTAGCTAAAACAAGTGTTTGATTTATTATATTGATTATAGTAAAAGCTCAGAAATACACTGCATCATCAGGTGGATGTAGACAACCAGTTTCATTGTTCCATATTTGTACGATTTCATCCATGCATCTTGTTCCTTTAATGCATCCCTCCATTGTATTGCTCGCTGTGTTCTTTTATTATAATTATAATTATAAGTTCTTTAATTTATAACTCGCTCCTCATTTACCTCCACAGCCACAGGTAATATTGTGCAATATTACCCATTTTCCAAAATGCTGCACTCCATCTTATATATATCTGATGTGATTAAAAAAAACAACATTCATTCTTACAATTACACATTGCATTAAACATTCAAATTAGAAAAATATATTAAATTCAATAAAGCTTAACTGTCCCTGAAAGGAAATTCTTGTGCAGCAAAAAAAATGCAGAAATGTAATGTTTATAGAGAGGCGAAGTCCCGCCCATCTACTTCCGACCCATGGGACCTTATTTCTGAAAAAGTATGCATTGAAGTCAATGGAGAGAGAAAGATTATCTCTCGATCCCGTTTGAATTGTGCCACGAATTACACATATGATGTTTGTCAATCTTAAATAATAATTTCCAAGTCAAAAAAGTCACAGTTTGTTGTAAAACTGTTGAAATATAAGACTATGAAAAATACGCAACTAGAAAGACTACAAATCCCAGAGTCCCGGTCCCGCATGCTGGCTCTTACGAACCGACTAACTCCCCTTGTGTGTATGTACAGCTCTCAACATGCCCAGACTTGGAGTGATTTTCACCTCTTTTAATACTTTCCGCCTCATTCTGAAAGAAAGAAGTGAAATGTGCCAACGTGACGGCCGTCTTGGTGTGTGGTGCGAGACGGGAGATGTAGTTCATTGAGCGGTTTCACACAAACAACAGTGTTACTTCACAGTTTTACGACACATTTTAATTTTTTAGACTTGCAAAATTATCTTTTAAATTGACAAACATCATATGTGTAATTCGTGGCACAATTCAAACGGGATCGAGAGATAATCTTTCTCTCTCCATTGACTTCAATACATACTTTTTCTGAAATAAGGTCCCATGGAGGACCCCCGGAAAGGGAGGGACTTCGCCTCTCTATAAGAAAACAACTAAATAAAAACAAGCAACAAGAAACATTCTGTACATATGGCAGCAACAAAGACACAATATGTAACGCATTATAGCAGAAAGTAACTAGTAAACACGACTCAAATGTACCTCAGAAGGGTTTTATTTCATTATATGACTACTGTAGATATTACTGATTTAAATGAAGGTTAAAAAGAATAGTAAAAATAGCTTTATTGATCAATTTCTTTATTTTTGGCTGCTTAAAATACGTTTATTGAAGGATGTTTCCGTGGCCCTCTGCCCAGGTCTAAAGAAAGAAATTAGAGGAGAGACTATTGACTAAATGTTTTTGGCGGACTTGAAAACATAATGTACATTTTGCACATTTTAATGCCGGTTTGTTCACAAAACGCCGGATTTAAGTCTTATTTTAGTCATAATTCAATTAACCTTCCTGCTTTAACATTACATGGCAACTTTTCTTTAGCAATACAATACTTTTTTAAGTCTTCCAAGTAAACACTTTCTTTATACGTGGTAAAAAAACACCAATAATTAATCCTTTCAACTGCCACTAAAAGCCACCATACCGAAGATTTGTGTTGCCATTTCAATGTAATAACTGTTCAAAGTAATTCATTAGATTATTTAGCTGTAGTTAAACATATGAATGACTCCCTATATGGTCTCCAGTTTCCATGAACATCTGTTTTCATATATTTATGTGCACAATATATGCAAACATGTCAACATTTCCAGCATAATTGACTGATGAAATTCGTTTTTTGCAGCTAAATGTGTAAATATCCTGCCTTACACAAACACACACACTCTCTCTCATACTAATATGCACTCGAAAATATACCCTGCTATTATCTTATCCTCCATTTTAACAAATCTATGCTCTGCAATCAACTCCTTTCCCCTTTCAGACTAATTTCTGCTTCTCTCTCTAAATCAAAATGCAGCATTTAAATCACATTTAAGTGGTAAACCATGCATCATAACTAATACATAAGTAAAAATATGAGAGGTGTTATTTTTTTGGTTGAGACTAAGATGTCATCTGGTGCAAGTGTGCAGAAAAGTTCCTTTAAGTGACGCCTTAAACCAGCTGCATCACTTCTGTCATCTGCCATCCCACAATGCAACACTGATAGTCAAGTATTTCATTGACATTTAGCGGTAAAGCTAAGTTATTTCTTTTTACATATATATTGCATTTTATCTCCACAGTCTATTAGCTCTGTTGACTGTGTTGTGTGTGAGAGGTGTAGGCCGGGCATGACGTTGTTTTTCCCTCCAGGTATCTGGAAAACTACGATGGCTCATATGAGTACAACTCCACTGCATGCAGGGAGCTCAGACAGGAGATCATGGACGTCAAAGTCCTGTCAATGTGAGTGTTTACTGTGTGGAGAGAATAACGTCTTTCTTTCCTTTAGGTGATCGTCTGACCAGTGGCGTTTTTATATGTACAAAAGTGGTGGGGCACGAACAACTTAGGCTGCTTTTACACGGGAACGTTTGCGTTTATGCACAGTATGCGCTTTCAAAAAAGTCTTCCGTTCACATGCATTCGTTTCATTTAACGTGTCTGTTCAAACGAGACCGCTGGAAACGCTGTAGTACATATGCTGGGACTGTAAGTGGCGCTGTAAGTTCCGCCAAAATACACCAAAAGCAGCGAAGAAGACCCCGCAGCAGCCCCGCAGCAATGTTGCCATGGCTACCCTTCTGTGTATGCCCCGCGGTGGATTTAGCAACATGTAGTTTATGTAGTTCTCCATGTCCACTTGTTGCTGATGGTTGTGGTAGAGGAGCTGTAGATTTTGCACTAACATCTGTAGCATGGTCAGTAGCAGTAGCACTAGCAGTAGCTACTGACAGTAGCTACTGGCCCTGCTACAGCAGTGAGCAGGAGAGGTGGGGCTATCGTTATTTTTTCAGGAAATATTCGTATAGAGGCGATTACACAGACTCGTTTGACCCCCCAGAGCGTTTCGTTTGCAAATCTATCCACCTTGGGACCCGTTATCGTTTGTGGGGTCCGTTTGTTACGGCCTCGTGTAAATAATAGGGCTATCCGCAAGAGAAACTATGCAGATACAAGCAGTTTCGTTCTCGTGTAAATGTGGCCTTAGATGTGTACATATAAGCTTCTGGTGCTTTTTTAAACACGTAAACAAATAGCTCTAGCCATGATAGAGAGGGGGGGGGGGAAACACAGACACTCATCACCGAGGTCACAATATCAATCGATCCAGCAGAGCAATAGCCTATAGGCAAAACACAGAAGATCAACAAAAGATATGACATAAAATGACCTTACCAAAGCTGAAGTTAGAAGATTTGAATCGCTATACGCTGCTCTCTCTCGTCTCCTCTTCACAAACAACTACTATTTTCGCGGCACACGTACTTACAGCCAATCAGCTCTCTGAATTATGAGATGACGTTTGGTAGGTAAGGCAGCACAGTGCCCCTATGGTGATTATTCTTTTGCCGCACACATTGAATAGAAAAATACTCTGAGCATGCGCAGTGTAGTTTTTACAGCACCCATTCACTTTGACAGTGAGAGAGAGGGGCATGATCGGGGTTTGACCCACGTCGCTCAACACAGCTCAATAGGCACACTGTAGACACTAATTAGAAGAACACAGACTAAAACAGCAATGTACAGACGAATCAGATGATTAAACATGATCTTAAAATATATTTTAACATGTATTTTTTTTGCATATTTTGGGAATTATTATTCGCATTACTTTCTGCTGACACTAGGTGGGGCTGTGCCTAATGATGAGTCGCCACTGCGTCTGACTCCTTTAAAGTGGACCTATCATGCTATATTTGAATAATATAGTGTAGGACCATACCTATATAAGGCATATTTACACTTTTTTATTTTCAAAATACCAAACAGATCATGCATTTTAGCCATGCCTCATTTTGCTCAATTTGAAAAATGTTAGCTCTGTTTTTGCAAGGGCTGATTCTGTGAGAACAGCACCATCTAGAGGCCTGGCATATGTACTACAGCGTCTCCAGCGCTTTCGAACGGCAATGGCTGTGGCTGTCTCCTCCTGATTGGTGGAGTTGGCCCAATAGCCGTAGCGCCACCGTCCTCACGTCAGGACAGTGTTCAAATCTGGATCAGTTTTTATCAGATCCGTTGCAGCCCCTTTTTTAGAGATTTGGGTATGGAGGAAAATAGAGAGGGTTGTGTTTTCTGACACTTGGTGAGTTCCCTGGAACACCGGGGACACATATTCATGTAGAAAAGACGTACAAAAGTGCATTTTGCATGATAGGTCCCCTTTAAGGAGAACATGTACCACGGCCGACGGGTTATTTTCAGCAGTTTCGGTTAAATGCATTCAATTGTATAGGACATTTTACATTTATTTCTTATGTTTATATCATTATATATATTTTTTATTGCATTTAAAAAATGTTTTTCTTATTTTTTATATTTAAAGGGGACCTATTATGCAAAATGCACTTTCTGATGTCTTTTATACTTAAATATGTGTCCCCGGTGTGTCGGGGAACTCACGCAGCGTCAGAAAATAAAACCCTCTCTCTTTTCCTCCGTACCCAAATCTCTAAAAACGGGGGAACAACGGAGCTGATCCAGATTTGCTGCCGATATGACGTCAAATCGGCGGTTGACCCACAGAGAGTTGCTATCAGAAACAATGCCTGTCGTGTTATGGACGTAATCTCGTCTTTGTTTACATTAGCATCGCTAACACTCAGAGCTAACCTGTACTGTGTAGAGCACATGTGTTTAAAAAGCAGGAAATAAAAAAAGGAACTCACCTTGTGATAAACCCGCAAGAGAAAAAGCATTTGAGCTCCATACTGGTTCAGAAATAATCCTTGATGTGGTTTAGAACAGGATGGCGTTTTATCACAGCAGAATCTAACTTTATCTCAGGTAGAATTCTGATCAGGCATTAGCTCCGCCCCCGGTGAATGTTTGCCTAGGGCCCCCACAGACTCTAGAATCGGCACTGTTGATGGTGATTAATTTATGATGTATAACTTCCTGAATATACTTGAATCTTAAGGAAATATGAACTACAACTCTCCTTCTGTGTGTGTTACCTTATAAGATGTTGTTAAATGTTGTCTATGTACCATGAGGTCTGTGAAAAACTCTTTATTGTTTTAGTATGTCAAAGATTTATTATGTGGCACGGGGACTTTCTTTCCACGTCCCATGAAAACTAGAATAGAGATTATAGCGAGGCGAAGAGCCGTGCAATTATCCTCGTTAAGCCTTTTTTAACATTTCATAAGTAGCAGCAGAAAAAGCAATTATAGATATCAGAAATTGCTTTTTGACCAATTACAATTTCAACTAATTAGGAACGACTAGCAGCTAATGATGTCATTTCGAATGCAGTATTCTTAACGATGATTAATGACCGGTTAATTTGAGATATCTGTGATTTAAGAACAGCTAATTATCGTTAACAATGGATTCCTACTTTGACTCAATGACACATATCTATTAATCAATGTGTGAACTATCATTTCCAGGAGTGAAAACTAAATAGGTTCCTACTGATTAAACGTATGCTCACATGCTAACAAGCTAACAAGCTAACAATGACAATAATTACAGACCAAAAAGGGAAATGTTTTTTTAATTTGATATACAGGCGGGTTATAAAGCAAACATTCTGCTCACAAGTATTTTAATCATTATCGTGATTTATTCTATCAATCAATTTCTAGTCTGTTGATTCTTATCAGTCAATAAAAGCGTTTTCCATTAACCTGAAAGCAGCTTTCCAGATAAATCTGAACTGATGTTGATTTCACTCTCTTTTCACTTTTTAATAATCGTTAGTGATCAAATGGCAGAGACTAGATTATCTAATAAATAGCAAACACCAAATCCCCACATTAACAACGGTTAAATCTAATCACATGACATGTATTTCATCGCCAGCACTTTACAGCTGATATATGTCCTTCTCACACAGATGGCAAACGTACACACACCCTTTACTCAAGTAGAAGTACAGATACTCGTGTTTAAAAATACTCTGGTGAAAGTAGAAGTACTGACTAAACTTCTTTACTCAAGTAAAAGTAAAGAGGGCTTTGAAATGTACTTCAGTAAAAAGTACCCATAACTAGCAGCTGTTTTAAAGAGTACCTGACCTCCCTTTATATTAATAGAACAATAATGTCATTGTTAGCTAATGAATGTTTCCATGCTGAACAACGGCAACATGACAACGTTTTCATTGGTCCCTCTTCTTTAGAGAAGACCAGGAAATGATGGATACACGGATCGTGTTCAAATCAATAGGCACGCAATGACTCTAAATAATAATGATCACGCCACCAAACACACATTCAAACTAAAGGAACCAGCCTGTTTGGGAAATGTGAGAAGTAGAAAGTACAGGTATTTGGGTTCAACATGTAAGAAGTAGAAAGGACAGGTATTTGTGTTCAAAATGTAAGAAGTAGAAAGTACAGGTATTTGTGTTCAACATGTAAGAAGTAGAAAGTACAGGTATTTGTGTTCAACATGTAAGAAGTAGAAAGTACAGGTATTTGTGTTCAACATGTAAGAAGTAGAAAGTACAGGTGTTTGGGTTCAAAATGTAAGAAGTAGAAAGTACAGATATTTGTGTTCAAAATGTAAGAAGTAGAAAGTACAGGTATTTGTGTTCAACATGTAAGAAGTAGAAAGTACAGGTATTTGTGTTCAAAATGTAAGAAGTAGAAAGTACAGGTATTTGAGTTCAACATGTAAGAAGTAGAAAGTACAGGTATTTGTGTTCAACATGTAAGAAGTAGAAAGTACAGGTATTTGTGTTCAACATGTAAGAAGTAGAAAGTACAGGTATTTGTGTTCAACATGTAAGAAGTAGAAAGTACAGGTATTTGTGTTCAACATGTAAGAAGTAGAAAGTACAGGTATTTGTGTTCAACATGTAAGAAGTAGAAAGTACAGGTATTTGAGTTCAACATGTAAGAAGTAGAAAGTACAGGTATTTGTGTTCAAAATGTAAGAAGTAGAAAGTACAGGTATTTGTGTTCAACATGTAAGAAGTAGAAAGTACAGGTATTTGTGTTCAACATGTAAGAAGTAGAAAGTACAGGTATTTGTGTTCAACATGTAAGAAGTAGAAAGTACAGGTATTTGTGTTCAACATGTAAGAAGTAGAAAGTACAGGTATTTGTGTTCAAAATGTAAGAAGTAGAAAGTACAGGTATTTGTGTTCAACATGTAAGAAGTAGAAAGTACAGGTATTTGGGTTCAAAATGTAAGAAGTAGAAAGTTAAAAGTTGTCAGAAAAATAAGTAGTGGAGTAAAGTACTGATACCAGAAACATGTACTTAAGTACAGTAACGAAGTATTTGTACTCCACTTCTTCCCACCTCTGGTTAAATCTAATCACATGACATGCATTTCATGGCCAGCCCTTCACAGCTGATCGATCTCATCTTCTACTGCCAGTTTTCCTGCAGCTCTCTATAAATAATTATCACATTATGGAGCAGACTTCAGATTCAATGAGCCGCGCTGCGCTGGCTGAAACTCGAGCGCTAACGTTTCCTCTGGTATGAATGTGAACATTGTCCAGTGACCTTTTGTGCGTGTCCCTCGGTCTGCCAACACTTTAATGTCAGATGCATTCTGGGTGCTCGATGGAGGGCCGCGAGGCAGAGAATAGCTGCCGTCACTCTGCCAGAAAAAAGCAGTTTAATGGAGCCTCCCCGAGCGAATCACATCCCAAAACCTCAGAGGAAGAGGAAGTCCAAGGGCAGCTATTAACAGACAGTGTGAAGCCTGGCTTTTTATTATAGTCTATGTTGAATACCCCAAAGTTTTATGATAGAAATGTATAATAAGGGTCCCCAGCACATAGAAACTACTGGACGCTAACTTGCATATGTTGGGTAATTAGCACAATTAGCACAAGTTGCGTTAATAAGCCTATGCAGACACAAGCAAAAAGAATGGCTTGTGCGATTTGGAACATTTTGGAGTGGCTTTGGAGGTTATTGAGGATGCAGAATCAATTTCTGACATTTTTAGGATCAAAGAGTCCCCTAAAACTTTAAAATCGACTCAAAATGAATCAAAACAGCCCACAGAGAATACAAATATGGCCACTTTCTAATTAAAACTGCTATTTCTGACACTGAAAATATCCGAAATTCATTAAACATCACCCACATAAGCACTCCGAAATTGTCGTCTATGTTGAGTACCCCAACATTTTATGATAGAAATGTATAATAAGGGTCCCCAGCACATAGAAACTACTGGACGCTAACTTGCATATGTTGGGTAATTTGCACAATTAGCACAAGGTGCATTAATTTGCATTAATAAGCCTATGCAGACACTAGCAAAAACAATGGCTTGTGCGATTTGGAACATTTTGGAGTGGCTTTGGAGGTTATTGAGGATGCGGAATCAATTTCTGACATTTTTAGGATCAAATATGGCACATTTGAGTCCGCTAAAACTTTAAAATCGACCCAAAATGAATCAAAACAGCCCACAGAGAATACAAATATGGCCACTTTCTGGTTAAAACTGATATTTTGGACCCTGAAAATGTCAGTAATTCATTCAACACATTCAATAACCCACAAAAACACTCAGAAATGGGCTCAGAAAGCCTGGCCTTGTATTATAGTCTATGTTGAGGATGCTGAATACATTTCTGAAATGTTCAGGATACAAAATGGCAGTTTTAAGTCCCCTAAAATTTCAACAAATGAATCAAAATCAGCCCACTGGGAGAACAGATATAGCCACTTACTGGTTAAAACTACTATTTCTGATCCTGAAAATGTCAGAAACGTATTCAAAATCCCTCAATAACCTCCAAAACGACTACAGAATTGTCCAAATCGGCCAAGTCATTTTTAAGCTATTGTCCGGATAGGCTAAGCAACTTATGCTCATTGTACAAATTGCCAGCCCAACATATGCAAGTTAGCGTCCGGCAGCTTCTATGTGCTGGGGACTGTACTATACATTTCTATCATTAAACCTTGGTGTACTCAACATTTCTGGGTTCAAAGCAAGACTCTATGAGCTCGTAAACAGACTATTAAGAAGTCTGGATCCTTTAGCAATGATAAGGTTTTCATTGCATTTTAATTTAATGTTTGTGTAAACGTTATTTGACCCAATGCATTTTAATGTGTAGCGAAGTATCTCAAATGAGCTCCAGGCAGAGATGGAGTACTCGAGTGCCGATTTTCGGGACTCGTGACTCGACTCGGACTCGCGCACTGATTGACGCGACTCGGACTTGGACTCGTGAATTCTCGCGCACGATGACTTGGACTCTTCTTAGGTGACTCGGACTCGGACTCGGACTCGAACACTCCTTGGGTGACACGGACTTGGACTCGGACTCGAACACAGGTAATGATGACTCGGACTCGGACTCGACTCGGACACTCCTTGGGTGACTCGGACTTGGACTCGGACTCGAACACAGGTAATGATGACTCGGACTCGGACTCGACTCGGACACTCCTTGGGTGACTCGGACTTGGACTCGGACTCGACTACGACTCTCCCTTGGTGACTCGGACTTGGACTCGGACTCGAAGAGTGGTGACTCGAGAGTGACTTGGACTCGTGAATTGGTGACTTGACTACAACACTGGCTCCAGGCTTCTCACTTTTCATTTAACCCTTTTCCAGGTTGCAACGGCATGACATCTTAAATGATAGTGGTGTTATTATTATAACCAGTTAACACTTTAGGGATCCAGGTATGGTAACTTCTACATTTTGACATCTACACATTTGAATGCCCAGCTTGGTTGATGGGTCCCTTTACTTTAACACTTTTTACACAACAGGAGTCTACGACTATTAAGAAGTCTGAGCAGGCTTCTCACTTTTCAGTTCAACCTTTTCTAGTAGGGTGTGACATCTTAAATGGTACCATAGTGGTGTTATTATTCTAACCAGTTAACACTTTAGGTGCGACGGAGCACAGAGTAACTCCTGCAATGTTCTCCCCCCCTCCCCCCCCCCACCCATTGTGTGTCTATTTGAGTCGTTTTTATGTTGTTTCTTCGATTTACTACCCTTGTAGAAACATTAATCGGAAAATACATGGCCATGGGTATCCTTCCTCATTCCACAAACCTCTCTGCCTGTCTGCCAGGGTCAAAACCTCGGAGCTGTTTGAGAGGTGGAGGAACCTGCAGGTGTGTAGGTGGGCGCAGAGCAAGGAGGAGACCAGCAACTTCAAGTAAGAGTTACTCAGAAACAACCAGAGACGGTAAAAGTACACACATCCTTTACTCAAGTAGAAGTACAGATACACGTGTTTAAAAATACTCTGGTAGAAGTAGAAGTACTGACTAAACTTCTTTGCTCAAGTAAAAGTAAAGAGGGCTTTGAAATGTACTTCAGTAAAAAGTACCCATAACTAGCAGCTGTTTTAAAGAGTACCTGACCTCCCTTTATATTAATAGAACAATAATGTTGTCATTGTTAGCTAATGAATGTTTCCATGCTGAACAACGGCAACATGACAAGTACAGGTATTTGTGTTCAACATGTAAGAAGTAGAAAGTACAGGTATTTGTGTTCAAAATGTAAGAAGTCAAAGTAAAAAGTCGTCAGAAAAATAAGTAGTGGAGTAAAGTACTGATACCAGAAACATGTACTTAAGTACAGTAACAAAGTATTTGTACTCCACTACTTCCCACCTCTGCTGAGTTTTAAATAACCTCCCCTCTCCTCTCTCCTGCAGGATGTCTCTGTCTCGCTGCTGTAACGCTCCCTCCTTCCTCTTCACCACCAAGAGGAACACTCCTGCAGGAACCAAGCTGCGGTACGAGGTGGACACCAGCGGGATCCTGCCCATCACCGCAGAGGTCTTCAAGATGTTCCCCGATGTGAGTTCATGGTTAACAGGAGAGATGGCAAAAGTACACACATCCTTTACTCAAGTAGAAGTACAGATACTCGTGTTTAAAAATACTGTGGTAAAAGTAGAAGTACTGACTAAACTTCTTTACTCAAGTCAAAGTAAAGAGGGCTTTGAAATGTACTTCAGTAAAAAGTACCCATAACTAGCAGCTGTTTTAAAGAGTACCTGACCTCCCTTTATATTAATAGAACAATAATGTCATTGTTAGCTAATGAATGTTTCCATGCTGAACAACGGCAAAATGTAAGAAGTCAAAGTAAAAAGTGGTCAGAAAAATAAGTAGTGGAGTAAAGTACTGATAACAGAAAAATGTACTTAAGTACAGTAACAAAATATTTGTACTCCACTACAGTACTTCCCACCTCTGGTTAACAGGACTGTTTGGATTATTTCAGACATTTTTTCATGTAAAAAAAGTACTTTAAAGTGCGTTTTCCTAGTTGTAATTTGTTTGTATTTGCATCTAAATGCAGTATGCCGTTTTCAATCAGAATCAGAATCAGAATCAGAATCAGAAACATGTTTATTACCAGGTAGGTTTACATGTACGAGGAATTTGACTTGGTGTCATGGTGCATACATAAAAAATAACATAAAAAAATATTAAAATAATACAAAATATAGTAAAATATCACTGAATTAACGCACAAAACAAAGCGCACCAAAACACTGTGATATTAGTAGTTTATCCGAAGTAATTATCCGAATACTTCCTCCACGACTGCTTTATGTTCCCCCATATATGTTGGCGTTTGTATAATTCTACAACTGGTTTGGTGATTAAGATTTACTGATTTCCATAATGTCTGTCTGAAAACCTGTCTCGCATATTCCTGACTCTACTAGTTCTTAACCTGTTGAGCCCTGAGCCTGTTTTTCAGGTTTCAGGCTCGAAAATGACATGCCCAAAACAAATGACTACAACTTAACTTCTAAAAGGGTTATATGAATAATTTCTTTTATCAAAGCAAGGTTACATCTGTGAGTTGGATGTAGAAGTGTCAGAATCAATATAGATGTTTCTGTGTCAGAGTAAATTCAGATGGAACATAGCAAAAAAAGGTAAATTCTTACCTCCGCCTAAAGAAAAAACATTACTTATAGTGAAAACCACCCTTGAATGATGGGTTAGTAGACTAAAAGCTTTAGGAATCCAAAGTATAACATATAATAAGTACCCTGTATCAAGATTGAGGCAAAACAAGTTAAATTTGATCTTTTTAGAGAGGTTTAGCAAAAAGAAGTTCCAGGCGGAATAAGCTTTCGGCACATTTGGGTACATCTGGTTCCATCAGTGCCATTTGACCTTTTTCAGGTACCAGACTATAAAAATGGTGTATTACATTGAATTATCACCATAGGTATTCATTCCATCCAAAGAAAACAAATTAAAACTAAAAAAATTAATAAAAAATAAAAAAATAAAAAATAATTACGACGGGGTCTTTGGGGCTTAACAGGTAACGTTTAAATGCAGGACTTTTCCTTGTACCAGAGTATTTTTACGCTGTGGTATTAGTACTTTCTCTTAAGTAATTATCTGAATAATCCTCCACTACTGCTATATGTTCCCCCATGTTAGCTTGTTTAACTTGGTCTGGTGATTAGGATCGTTGTAATGTCTGTCTGAATTTAACAAATTGTGTCTTCATTCAGGATATGCCATATTCCAAATCACAGTACAAGAAATGTGCTGTTATTGGAAATGGCGGAATCATCAAGAACAGCAAATGTGGAAAGGAAATCGACTCGGCAGATTTTATTTTTAGGTATTCAGCATATAATCATTTTTTGTTATTGTCTTTGAATAAAACTCGGACTGGGTGAAATAGTTACTGTTGAAATGCCGAGCAAAGCAGATGTCCTAATTGAAATTATAATAACGTACTAAGTGAGTTTGAAACCCTGCTTTCAGATATATTAATGCTTCATTTTTAACCACATTGTTGATATTTGTGGGCATGAATTAAATCGTTTTGGCAGTGATATTTATTTGTTCTCTCTATGGCCACTCCCAGGGTCTGTATGTGTTAAAATAAATGTTAAATTGGTGGCTTTAATGCAGCTCTACCCAACCTGACTCGACATGTGGATAAAACACGTCTAGTTAAAGTCGCTAAAGTATCATTGATTAGTCTGTTTGATTTATTATAGAAGCCAAACTCTTGATCACACAGCTGTTAAATGATTGATTGTGCATCTCACCAGCATGCCTAGTTTGTGTAAAGTCAAATCAAATGTATTTAAACTCCTGTATCAGTGGACTTGTGCTTTCTTTATTGCAGGTGCAACATCCCACCCATCAATGAGAAGTACTCAGCTGACGTTGGCTCTAGAACAGATCTGGTGACAATAAACCCGAGCATTATATCTGAGAGGTACTGTGAATATCTGAGGGTCTGAGGAAGAATCTCACACAGTCTGTTTTCTTTTCTTTTGGATTGTATAGTGTTAGAAAAATCTCACTGGTCTTCGGTTTGAGCTTCAATCTCAGGATCCATGTATTTGTGATCCTCTCAAGAATGGAAGTAGTCATCACATACAGAGCATCAACTAGTTCCTGAACAGTGTCCTTCACATGCTGATATACAAGAGAGGGAGTTACACAGTCACAAGATGGAGGGATACCGGTTCTTGTAGGTAATCGTAAATTGTGTCATGTACAAAATACTGAGTTTTTTTCTCAAAATGTTGTTTTTTTCTCAATATCTCAAAATTCTGACTTTTTCTCAAAATCTCAAAATTCTGACTTTTTCTCAACATCTCAAAATTCTGACTTTTTAAAAAAAAAACTGAATTTCTCTCAAAATTCTGTATTTTTCCTCAAAATTCTGAATTTCTCTCAAAATCTCAAAATTCTGACTTTTTCTCAAAATTCTGACTTTTTCTCAAAATCTCAAAATTCTGACTTTCTCTCAAAATTCTGACTTTCTCTCAAAATTCTGACTTTCTCTCAAAATTATGTATTTTTTCTCAAAATTATGTATTTTTTCCTCAAAATTATGTATTTTTCTCAAAATCTAAAAATTCTTACTTTCTCTCAAAATCTTAAAATTCGGAATTTCTCTCAAAATCTCAAAATTCTGACTTTTTCTCCAAATCTCAAAATTCTGATTTTTTCTCAAAATTATGTATTTTTTCTCAAAATTATGTATGTTTTCTCAAAATCTCAAAATTCTTACTTTCTCTCAAAATCTCAAAATTCTGAATTTCTCTAAAAATCTAAAAATCCTGACTTTTTACTCAAAATCTCAAACAGTGTCCTTCACATGCTGATATCCAAGAGAGGGAGTTACACAGTCACAAGATGGAGGAATAGAAAGCAGTATTCAATGTTTACTTCAGATTAGCTCCACGTCAGAAATGAGCATGCTTGTCATATGTCTATCTCCATAGAGGCTGAATCATCATGTTAATCACATAGCTATCATATGCCTCAAACAGTCCTGATGCTCTTCTAGGTAATCATACATCCTGTTATGTACACAGCTACAGTTGGGATACCTTTGTTATCATGTTACTCTCATATTGGAAGAGGACATTCAGTATTTTCTTCCCATCATATACTCTAAATCTTCCTCCGCAGGTTTCAGAAGCTGGAGAAATGGCGGCGACCGTTCTACGAAGTCCTCCAGAACTACGAGAACTCCTCGGTGGTTCTTCCCGCTTTCTACAACACCCGAAACACCGACGTGTCATTCAGAGTCAAGTACATGCTGGACGACTTCGACTCCCAGAGGGGCGTTTTCTTCTTCCACCCGCAGTACCTTCTGAACGTTCAGCGTTTCTGGGCGGTTCAAGGCGTCCGAGCTAAACGTGTTAGCAGCGGTTTGATGCTAGTCACCGCCGCCATGGAAATGTGCGAAGAAGTCCATCTCTACGGTTTCTGGGCGTTTCCCATGAACCCCGCGGGCATCTTCATCACTCACCATTACTACGACAACGTCAAGCCGAGGCCTGGTTTTCACGCTATGCCACACGAAATATTCAACTTTATTCACATGCACACTCGTGGGATCCTCAACGTACACACAGGGCCGTGCACGTGATCCCCCACTCTCAGTAAATAAGACACTATTTTCCTCCCTTTTTAAAAAGAGAGTCGGCCTTCAGAGCGTCTCACTTATTCCACGACACAGTGAAGGTTGCTTGCTTGAATTGTCAACATACTTCTCTTTTCGATGTGTATTAAGTTGGGTAACACTTTAGATTAAGGTACACTTATTCACCATCAACTATCAACAAACTACTAGCTTATTTGTTATGAACGAGACTTCACTTTAAAATAGGGAACATATTCTGAGTTAGAAAAAACACATTTTTTGTTATTTGGACATAATTAACACTTCTAGTTCCATGTCTTGTTACATAAGAGTAGCCCATATTTGTTAGGTGTTAATATGGGAGAATTACTATTCTTGTGGTACTGCTACTGCATATTGAGCATATTAAGACTCTTAACTAATGGCCTAGTACTGGGAGAATATGGTCATGTAGAATAAGGCATTAATAAGTGTTTTATAATGACTAACAGCCAATATACTGCTAACATGCATGTTAATTAACAACTAGTTGATGGTGAATTTGTGTACCTTAATATAAAGTGTTACCTTAAGTTGATCCGATCACTATGGTAATCTCTGACTTTCTGACCATAGGGTGTTTGGTTTTAATGTGAAAGTGGTCTTCATAGTGATGTTGTGTCTGTGAGGTTTTTCTAGTGGCTCCGCTGTACAGAGGTGTTGTTTTCTACTCAACGTTGCTCAGATATTTAAGCTGAAATGGGTCGCAGTGGGTGCCCCCCCCCTCACCCCCCCCGCCCCCCCCCCCCCCCCCGTCTTCTCTCTTTATCCCGGGCACTCTGTGGGTGTGGCAGCTTTGTGTGTTTGTGTAAAACAAAACCTTCATATCAGCAAAAATAAGTTAAAAAAAACATTTGAATTGTAACATCTAATTGTCTACTTTTGTAATATATTTCCTATTCACCAGAATGTTTTAAACACTCTACTTTCTTCCAATTAAAAAAAACCTCCTCTGATATTTCTGGTTATAAAAAAGGGTGTATGAGAAGAGATGAGGATGTTACTCACCCCTCTTTTCTGTTCTGGCTCACCCTGCTTTCGGACAAAAGCCAGATTAATAATTTAAAACGTCACCATCTGAGCAAAAACATTTTAAGGCCGTCCAATTTGTTAAACCCCATAATACTGTTAAGCGCCTCTTGTCGTCATTCATGTCTTAAGCCATGCTGCCTTATGAGATAATGAACCCCTCTATACGATATGCAATGCACCCATGTGTTTGCTAACCAACAAATACATTCAATTAAACTAAATCTTAGTTTCTCCCTTGAGTCAAAGGACTCTTTAAAAAGGTTTAGGAATTAGCGAACTCCCTGTAAACTCCTTTTTCTCATGTAATGCTCGGCATGACTTACTCTATACTTGGCTTTGTGTGTGCCTGCTTCAATGATCACTGAACTATGTTTACACTTGGAGCTCACAGTGCTTTTGGAGATGTATACAATAAACTTTTCACAGAATGGATTAGTTGAAATGTACAATAGTGGATGCAGTTTTTCTCGGTTATTACAGATGCACGAATGAAGACGGTTGCTGCCCTTTTTGTGAAGTGCTACGACACTTTCATGTTTTATTTGACCTCCCTCTTTGCAATGTGAACTCTTAGTTTGCACTCTAGAAAGCATTGTGCATTGAAGCACTGCGAAGCTGACTAGTTTTTTTATTTTGTTGTACGCTGCAAAGACTGTAAAAATAATATGTTGTCACTCCTCTGTTCATGCTCTGCTGACATCATGCTGATAAGACTTATGTTATTTCTGTCATCATATATGCAGACTTGTTGTGTGTTTATGCACAAGAGATATGATGGATGTGAACACCAAAAAATGGCTTTGGCTTTTGCTCGAACACTAAAATTGTTGCACAGACACAAATGAATCAAGCATGGGAAAGGAAGGGAGCTGGTCTGTGTACTGAATGGAGGTTATATATAAAACACAGTCTTCACTGACTCTGGATCGTTCTTTATACTGGTATTGTGTTTGTAAATAAACTTGTATGGATTTTCTCACTTGATGGATTATTGTGTGTGTACATTGGAGGGAATGGGGACACTCACTCCACACATGAGTTTATCCATTATGTGTTATTATATTTGCCACACTGCTATGCTTGTTGGCGCCACAAAGGACACAATGTGCAAGTTTAATAGACTAATTTCAGACCATTTAACCTGTGATTTGTCTGCTTCAGTTGGCTCTTTAAGCGAAGCTGTCAACGCCTCAATTATTAAGCAGCGCTCGGTGTCGATGTCCTCTCACTGACTCAGTCTGCAAAGGATGGCTGGGAATATGGCAGATTGTGCTGTAACTGTTGAGGCTTTTAATGTTGACAGGCTCACAAAAGGGGAATGAATCCAGTAAGAAATAAGATAGATATTAGAATCAGAGTTTGGTTTAATGCCAATAGGTTTTTCACATACAAGGGATTTGATTTGGTGTTAAGTAGTGCACACATAAACAGAGTAAGATAGAGAAATAAGAGCAAATATTGAAAACAATGATTATATAAAAACCATTATGTGAACAAAAAAAACAATACCAATATGTGAAATCACTGTGGTGAAGAAATATGTACAGTAGGCCTGTAACTGTTAGAATTTGATGTAAGAACAAGACACTGCAAAGGTAACTTACCATTCAATTAATAATCAAGAGAGAAAGAATAATTTTGTCGATAGGTTTTGATTCAGTGGGCCAAAATGGTAGAATGAACATGCTGCCTTTCCACTAATAATTGACCAACATAATAACAAGGTTAACAGCAGCTGACCATAATGTTAATAACGATTGTACTGTAAGTAACCTTGAATACAAATATCTTATCCGTTATTTAATCATAACATTCGAAAAATAAGGAGCTTTTTCCATTATAAAAAGTAATGCCCAAACATTTCGATTCTGATTGCTGAGGGGGCTGCAGCACCCCCATCTGCGAGGCTCCACTAGCACCTGCAAACTAAAACTATATTTTGATGATAATACTTTTCTACTTTTACTTGAGGAACATTTTGAATGCAGGACTTTTACTGTAACAGAGTATTCCTACACTCTGGTACTTCTACTTTTACTCAAGTACAAGATCTGAGTACTTCTACTTTTACTCAAGTACTAGACCTGAGTACTTCTACTTTTACTCAAGTACAAGATCTGAGTACTTCTACTTTTACTCAAGTACAAGATCTGAGTACTTCTACTTTTACTCAAGTACAAGATCTGAGTACTTCTACTTTTACTCAAGTACAAGATCTGAATACTTCTACTTTTACTGAAGTACAAGATCTGAATACTTCTCTCACCACTAGTTTTACTTGACTAAAGGGAACAGAAACACGATGCTAGCGTTAATGTCGTCTGCAGGAAATGTTCAGGATTATAAAATATTAGTTTTTCAATGTGGATTAAATGGGATTAGTAATGATGGAGCGTCAGGCCTTTAATGTGAGGGGATTCCTCCCTGCATTGGGTCACATGAGGTTTTACTCACTGCTGTCGCCCTGGGGTTGGGTAATCTGATGTTGACAGATCAATATGACCAAACTTTGCCCTTAGCCTCGATGTTAGGTGTCAGGTAGCAGCAATAACGCTAATGGGATGATTTGGCTCTTGGTGTAGATGTGAATGTGATGGAGCTGCAACCAATAATCTGAGTATTTGCGCTACTATAAAAATGTAAGTCTGAAAATAACTATTTTTGTATTTTCTTCAGTAGTATATATTTGATATAGTCTGTACAATGCTTGGAAAAGAATACTTATCAGTGTTCTTCCAATTTAAAGCATTTCAGTACTACATACATTATTTATCGGAGGCGTGTGGCGCAGTGGATAGAGCGTTGGTGTTCGGATCAAGGGAGCACAGGTTCAAACCCCACTGCAGTCAGCATGTCGTTGTCAGTGCCGATTCTAGAGTGTGTGGGGGCCCTAGGCAAACATTCACCGGGGGCCCCTCGAACCAGCTTTTCATCAACACGCACAGCCGACAGCAACCCCCCCCCCCCCCCCCCCCCGGAGCGGAGCAAGGCAACGAAACTTAAGATAAGAAGCAGCATTTTACGGCGCGCTATACATGGGGCCACCTTGAGGGGATTTCCCGACATGTCGTTGCAGTAAATTAAAGGGTGTTTCATGTTGTCGTTGCTGTGGACCTTCTTAATCTACCTTCTTTGGGGGCCCCCTTCTGGTCCGGGGCCCCAAGCAGTTGCCTGCCTTGCCTGTCCGCAAGCGGCGGCCCTGGTTGTTGTGTCCCTGAGACACTTCACCCCAAATTGCTCCTGTGGGGATTGCCCACAGTATTGAGTATGTAAGTCGCTTTGGACACGTTAAAAGTAACATGTTATGTAATGTAACGTTATCCACAATTTTCAAAAAAATTTCAGCTAAAAAACTAATTTCTGGAAAAGTTCTCCTTGGCACCTTTAACAAAACCTTTATTTTGATCATATTAAATATTAAGAATGCCAAAGATAACAAAGTGCTGATTACTTACTAGTAAATCTCAGTATTCATATTTTGTAGAAAATATTTATGTGAAGCTATACTTCAATGTGCAGAGGAGGATGCAAAGTGCATCTCTTTAAACTGCAAATGATTCCCTGTTTTCAGTCATTATACTAACCTCAGAGAGAAGTATCACTTTTATCATCTAACGTTGCAATAAAGCCAATAAGCCTATTTTAAAATGCTGAACTTCCTTTAAATAGACTTTGAATTTTGCTGAAAGCAGCCATGAAAGGAATCATTTCCTCGTTGATATTATTTACTCATCATGGTCAATCTTTCAGTCAATATTCCTTCAACTTAAAAGTGATTTATACACATTGTGCAATCAAAATAAACAAAGACGAGTAGTTCTAAGGGAGGGTTAGTTCCTCTGTTACCCCTTTCACACCAACGCGGTTCGGAGCTGGAGCTTGAAAAGCACCGTTTTCTCCTGTTCACACCGCAGCTCCGGAATCCGGTTCGTTTCAAGCACCAAAAAGTTGTCGGTCTAGAAAGCAAGCACCGCATACGTCACGCTTACGTCGGAGGCGGGGGCAGGGGCAGGGGCATCAGTTGTAATGTTATACCACCATAGTAATGAATGCTGCAAAGCCGGGTATTTTGAGCTTGGCGCATGCAGAGGCTAACAACAGCTAGCTCTAACGCCATCGAATAGGACGTATATTTACCTTCTTTCTCCTACCGAATCGTCGTTGAAGTTGATGATGATGATTGTAAAGAAGTCTTGAATGTAGCATGTAACGACTGTAAGGTTGGTAGTAAAGTCGTCCCATTTCTTCCATTTCGTTTCGACAGAGCAAAACCAAAACGAGTAGCGCTTCAATACAATCGGTCATTGTTGTTGTTGTCGATGTGAGGGGTTTCCGCGCGGTTTGGCTTTATGAAGCAGGCACGCAAACGGTTACGTCATGGCGCAAACGATGACGCGATGACGCAGCACCAGTCGGG